GCAAACTGGTTATGCACTTGTTGAAATATTAAAAAAGCAGAAGAGGGCACTGGTTTGGAGGCAGATGACACACATGGCTTCAGACACATTGGTCCTAACATATTTTTCAACAGAAAGGTCAGACACAGCTCTGGGATTTAGAAGAGGGTCCAGGCTTGAAATATAGACTCGAAATAAACAGAATTTTCTGACCACAAGTGACCAGAATTTCTCTGCTCTTGTTCGTCTCTCTTCTCCTAGTTCTTCCACTTGCTGGTTTCCACATTTGAGGCCCAACCCAGTTCAGCTTGACCTAAAACCAGATACTGGCTTAGTGCTCATACCCCCTGATGTTGGTGTGTGCCTTTCCCTGCTCTGTCACCGCCTGTCAATCTTTAACCTGAAGCTCTGGGTTTCAGGCATGCCTAGTGCCTTCATGGTGCTGTGTCCTCTGCTCTCCTCATCCCTTAGATATGGAACCTTCTAGGTAACCACCCTCCATCCTCATTTTGATCACCATTCTAATGAATTACTAAATTTCTGACAATGGACCCAAGGCCCTGACAATGACCCCAAGCTCTCATCCCTAATGCCATTTTCAAAAAGAGAAAGTTGCAAAAATCTAAACATGTTCTCAAGACAATTTCTACTTTAGAAGAAAATATTTACATATTTTTTGGAATTTTCTTTCCCCTAAGATCTGAATATGTATCACTTTATCTCTCTTGCTCAGCCATTCAACACATTTCACCATTTCTTCCCCTTTATAACACCATGCTTAGCCCAGAAAAGTGGGGTAGAGAGTACTGGCTTCTTTAGTAAATGTCAGGGGCCACAGGCTAACACCCAGACACTAGTTAAGCAACAGACTCCACAACAGCCACTAGGTGTCGGGCTCTATCTTACAGCAGATGGGAGGAGAGGAGCTGCTGCTGCTCTGGAGGGTTGCACCCCATCCTGCACCCAGCACTCAAGCTTTCATCCACAGAGGACCCACACCTTCCTGTAGTGACTCCTGAGGACAGCACTTCCCACACCCAGTGCTCAGAAACTGACTTGGCCACACACAGCACCCACTGATACATCTTGCTTCTCTATGGCAGCTTCGGCACAAGTGGGCTCTAAAAGTCAGTTCATCAAGTTCCTCCAGGCGTGTCTTAGCCCTCCGCTCAACTGCAAGGTGTCTCCCAGTCCCCACAGAGAGAGCTGTTTTCATCCTTCTGACCTGAGCCCTTAGAGCTCAAGTGGCTGCCCCAATGTTCACCTGCCCCAGCGTTCACCCTCTGAACAGCTGGCTGAGAGTATAAAGAGGATGAGCCCAAGGCACCGCCAAGTTGAGAAAAACCTGCCTTGTGAAGTAAAGAAGATAAGGATGATGTATGTCTACAAGTGCCATCTTTAATCAAAACAAAACTGCCTCGTGAAGGCCAGTCATCTCAATTGAGACCTTACCTGGTTCTTTGGCATGTTCTTTGGCCTTGGATTCCTGAAATTCAAACAATAAAGTAACATTCATAAATTGCCAATAATGCAAATTTCTTTACATTAAGAAAATGTGCCTGAGACCAGCCTGGAGATATAAGGTCAGCAGACACAATAGTGAAAAAATACAGCAATAATGCTTTTGAATGACCCCCCTTATGTAGTGGCACCTCCAGTTACTCAGAACAAAAATCACTGGCAAAAATTAGTCACAAATAACAGAAACCCCAGTGATTACCAAGTGTCTGGGGCATGGGGTAAGATCTGCATCTTTTCCCCATTTAACATTTATTGAGTCTTTCCCATGAACACTGTACCATTTGCTTTACACCGGTTGTCTCATCCAACCCTCACAACAATCCAACAAACCAACAAGGTAAATATACTATTACTATACCATTTTAGGAAATACTTAGTACATGCAGTATGGACCGCTATCTCCTCAAAACAATGTAAAAGTAAAACTAATACAGCAAGTTCCAGGTTAAGAGCAACCCAAAATTTTGTATCTCAAACCACCCTTATTATAACCCCCAAATCTTGACTTTTCCAAAAGTGTCTAAAAGCAAACAAAATGTGCCTTCTCCTTCATTATTCCATACCTGTCCCACCACATCTGTAAGTTGCATTTCTCACTGCAGTTTGATTTATATTTTTTGTTCCACTAGGTGTCTCTCATTGTGCTTCCCATCCCACACACCTTGGGAGAACACCCTACTTCCTGGCTACTTGCTCCTTTACTAACCTTTGCTGGAATTTTCTCCTTAGAGACATCATGGACTTCATTTGGGTCTGGAAGCAACTTGACCGTTAACTTAAATGTTCCTTTTCCTGGCAATGCTAACTCGTGGTTCTCTCTCTTCAGAACATTCTGCCGAACTGAAATATCAAAAAAGAAGAAGGAGAAGGAGAACCATCAAGCAACCTTTATTCACAACATTATTCCATATTTCAAAGCCTTTGTCATCATCAATCAATTACTCAGTCATTTGCCCAAGAGAGGTCTTAGGTGATAAAAAGAAAAAAATAATGGAAAAGTGTATCAAGCAGGCATGGATTTGAATTCTATCTTTAAACTTATTTTTTTAACCTTAAGTATTTCCGGAGCCTCAGTCTTCTTGTATAATAAGCAATTAATAAAGATTGTATTATATGGGTGTTATGTGGATTCAACTGAAGAAACATAAAGAATGTAGTATAGTACCTGATGCTCAGTGGGCACTCAGAAAGAGAGCAATATTTATTGTACAGTAAATGAAATTATTACAACATCCGTCACAGTGAGCCTGTGTACATTGGGTGCTGGGACATGGCGTGATAAAAGCCATGTTTTAGGAAGGTGACTCAGGTAAGTAGGAGCAGAATGGCCAGGAACCTAGTTAAAAAGTTTTTCAATCAATTATTTTAACTTGTGAAGAGAAAAGCCTCCCATCTGATAGGAAAAGGAAAAGGAAAAAATGGATGGAGAGATTTAAAAACAAAATCGCACATCGGGCAGCTGGGCTGTAGTGAAAAAAACTGAACAATGAACATAAGCATTCAAAAAACCTGGATCAGAATTCCAAATCTAGATGAGTGACATTGAGAAACTATCTGAACTTTTCTTAAATCTGTTTTCTCATTCAAACCGGTGTTCTGTGAATGAATTTTGTAACACACACAAGAGGTATGCAAATGTAAGTTATAATTATAAGAGGCAGGCAGAGAAAGAAAGGAAAAGTTAGTGTATCTCAGAGTGTGGAGAATAGGGAGTGAGTTTAGATGAGGAAATGTAGTAGACATAGTCAGATGGTGCAAAAATGTCAGGATGAAGGGGAACCTTTGAGAGTTCCCTACTGTTCACTGTTGTAGCCCTGCCATGAATGTTGGGTTACCATGTTGTATTCTGATATGGTTGGTGTGATGAGGCGAAGGATACAGGTAGGAATCTTTCAAAAAAGGGGGCTTAAGTAGCTTTCCCACCTCAACCATCCATGGAAGGATAGGATGCCAATAGAATGAAATAGACCCCCAGAAATAATATAAGACTCAAATTTCACTCTTGATGGGAGGAAAGATGTCTTCACAGAGACTCCTAAGGGGCTGCCCCAAGCTTCCATAAGGGCTGGATAAGAACCAGGTGCCAGAGAGGAAGCTAAGTTTTGTAAGTCACACTGTCCATGGACCTCTGTGATACCTTCCTTTTATTATTCCCTAGACTTTGGCAGAGTCCGATCCAGACACTTATTTTTTTATTGATATCAGAGAGGAAGAGAGAGGGAGAGAGAGGGAGAGGGAGAGGGAGACAGAGAGAGAGAGAGAGAGAGAGAGAGAGAGAGAGAGAAACATCAATGATGAGAGAGAATCATTGATCAGCTGCCTCCTGCATGCTCCCTAATGGGGATGGAGCCCACAACCTGGGCATGTGCCCTTGACGGGAATCGATGGAATCCGGGCCTGGCTAGGGCCACACATTTAAATGTGCCAGCCTGGCCCTGGCCTGTGTTGCTCAATGGTAAGAGTGTTGACCCTTCCTTGGAAGGGCCAGGGGTTTGATTCCTGGTCAAGGGCACGTACCTGGGTTTCAGGTTCCATCCCCTGGCCCCAATCAGGGCAAGTGCAGAAGGAAACCAATTGATGTGTTTCTCTCACACCAATGTTTCTTTTTCTCTCTCTTCCTTTTTCCCCTATACCTTCCAATCAATGGAAGAAAATATCCTTGGGTGAGAATAAATTAAACCAATTAAATTAAATTATAAAATAAAAATGTCAGCCTGGCTCAGCTGGTGTGCTCAGTGGCTGAGCTTCAACCTATGAACCAAGAGGTCATAGTTTGATTCCCGGTCAGGGCACATGACTGGGTTTCGGTCTCTATCCCACATAGGAGGCATGCAAGAGACAGCCAAACAATGATTCTCCTTCATCATTAATATTTCTATCTTTCTCTCCCTTCCTCTCTGAAATCTATTTAAAATAATTTAAAAATAAATAAATGTGCCATCCTGTTCTGTGTGCAATATGCATGGGCATCACTACTTCAAGAGGACAGAGGGTAGCAAGATCAGTAAGTGCTCCCCAACAAGGAAACGGTGAATCTGGGAGGAATAAGGCTGAATCTCTGATGTCCAGCTACCCTGACCTATGTCCCTTCTGCACTAATCTCAAACCATTCACACTTACTTTTATTAATGGGTTTCCTTACCCCAAAGAGACTGACAATAATCAGGAGCCAAATTATGACCAGAGACGATGATAAATGTACACATCCAAAAATCTCCCAAGTCAATTTACACTCAACTTTTCAGAAATTCAATGAACTATATAAAAGTAAGATGCAGCTTCTCAATAGTTCAGGTTGCTCTACAGTAATTTCCACAGAGAAATGCTGGTGGACTCAGCCTGATTATGTGAATTATATGGCTAAAGGCATGTTTCACGACAAGACTGCACCTGCTGAGTTCATTTCCTGGTGTGGAGGGGATGGGTCTCCCTGTAAAGACAAGATTTCCTGCCCTTGGACTGCCAGGGCAGGTGATTCATTGTTAGCAAATTGCCTGGCAACTTGCTGCTGAGAAAGCTGCTTCTGATAGGAAACCGAAACTGACTGGGACTTTCCACTCCCCAAGACCTTTGACCATAAAAGGTCATCAGTTGCAGGGATTATGAGGTGTCTGTGCTGGGGGTAACACAAAGGGGCCATTGAGCAGCCTGGGGGTGGGAGAAGGGGGTCGTGGGCTAGAACAGGTGAAGGAAGAACCTGGCAAGAGACTGAAATAGGTTCTAATTTGAGGGCTAGAACAGAATGATGATATCATCACAGAATCATATTTTGCACTGGTTGTATTTCTATGCTGTGTGTATTTCCTATAATGGGCTCCCATTTTGTTCATCCAGGGACATCAACAACCAGCATTCTCAAATTTTAGTGCCTCAGAGTCACCGAGGCTGCTGGTTCAAAGTGCTGATGCCCTCACCCACCCACACTCAGGGTTCCTGAGTCTCCAGGACAGAGCTGGGCTGTGTCTGTTTAACCTGCTGAGGGTTAATGAGATGCTAAAGAAGAAAAGAAGAGTTGCTAAGGGCCAGAACCATGGTGATGCTAACAGTTGGAATCAAAGTGGTAACATCCCTTGAGGAAATGCCTTATATCATATAGCTGCAATTCTGTGCATTACTTGGTGAAATTAATCCTTGGAAAACTCTGTACCTGTTTCCATAAAGCTCTGGGCCCAGCAGGTCTCCTGTCTCCTGCCCCCTGCCCGCCTCCCTTCTTTCACACTCTTCTGTGTTCCCCTTTCCTCTCTGGGTTTCATCTTTCCTTCCTGGATCCTTGCTTAAAGCTTTCCAATTGCTCTCATGGCCTTGTAAGCCTCCTTGCCTCTCCTCTGGCCCAAATGTTTCTCAAATCCAGGGAAGGAAAGCGGGATTAGGAGTTGTCCACATCCTCTCCTGGGAGATTCCAATGGAAAAAGTGTGTGCTCTGGGAGTGTCTGGTCACGTGCCTCCCTATAAAGGACCTGGTGGTTGTCTTAAGCAAGCAGATGTTTGATATTCGTCCTCCCCCTTTCTTTTTTGTGTGTGTTTGTTGTGGTTGTTGTTGTTATTGTTGTTAATCCTCACCAGAGGATATTTTTTCCATTGATTTTTAGAGAGTGGAAAGGAGTGAGAGAGGGAGAGAGAGAGAGAGAGAATAAAACTTCGATGTGAGAGAGCCACATCCACCCGGGATTGAACCTGCAACCCTTCAGTGCACTGGCCAATGCTCTAACCACTGAAACCACCAGCCAGGGCCTCCCCTTTTCTTCAATAGCAAAAGCAAGCGGGAGGAGAGAACTAGGCTGCTACACTGCCTGTGAGGGGGGACCTTCCCCCTCAAAAGGTCAAAACTCTCAACGTCCTTCAACCCAGTCTGAGGACCAGCCTGAAACCCAGGGACAGGTACCAGCGAACGACCAACAAACACAGTGGTGATCAGGAGGAAGCTGTCATCTCCCTCCAATAACTCTCTCTATGTCACCCAGGCCATGTGACTTTAAGCAGGCCTCTGCCCCTGCCCAGGTGACCCCAGAACCACTGGGAAGCTCCACAATACATGGGGAAATCTCATGGCTCCTCCCATTGCTTAGCCCCTTTCCTTCCTCTCCCCTCCCCTAAATATTAACAGAAGAAGAGGGGCTCTCCCTCCCTCCCTCTCAAATGGAGCACCAGCCATTCCCAGAGAATCAGTTACCAAATCCCCAACAGCACACAAATATGTCTCTTCCAGCCCCACACTGACTGTCATTGTTAGGGATTCACTTGTCCTCACTCAGAATAACTGCATGAATCTCTTCAAAGGTCTGATTTTCATGGTCTCCCTGAACAGAAACCAATGTGTCCTATTTTCAACCAAATTTATCTCTCTAACGTATATTTAGACTTTTATCCCTGGAAACTTTCTCTTCCCTTAAAATCGTGTTCCCATAAACCTTGGGAGTCCTAGAACTGCTGCCTTAATAAGCAGAAGACCAAGAGCGCTAGAGTTGCAACTCTGCCATTAACACACTCTGTATTAATACATTAACGCCCTATGTAGCCTTGTAAAATGAGGCGAGTACCCGGGCTCTCAGTGCCTTTCCATTCTCCCTGAGGCGGTTCTGCCCCCACCCGCCACCTCCAGGCAGAGGCAGCACCGCTGAGTTCCTAGAGGCGCGGGGCAGAGGAACGCAGGGACTCCGCGCATTTCTGGTCCATTCTGCAACCCGCCCACCGCCAACTGCAGCTGCTGGAGCCGGTCCCGCTGCGCGCCCCAGTCCAAGTGTCCCCACAGGCAGAGCCCCATGGTCTCCTCTCACCCCCGCCCCGTCGCCCCTCACCGTCATGTGGGTGGAAGAGCACTAGGAAGCGGGCCGTGCTGCCGGGTTCCTGTCGGACCTCACACTCCCCGCCTCCCGATCTCTTCTGGCTCTGGAAGTACAACTGCAACTTGGTGATCAAGCTCTTCGGGGGATCGGGACCCCAGGACCCCTCGACCATCAGCGGGAAGTAGCTGGGCGCAGCCATCCTCAGCCCTGTTCAGGGAGGGACTGCTAGTACTACCCCTGCTCAAGCAGTTAACTTTGCCTCTTTCGCTTTCGTTTCAGGGAAAAACTCCTCCCTGCTCTTACGTTACTGCCTTTGGCTGTAAACAGCAACCCCAGATTTGATGAGTCATCCTCTCAAATTCTTAACTTTCATCTGGGCCCAGGGCAAGGCCATCCAGGTATTTGGCTGAACAGGGGTCCCTAAACCCAGGGCTCATCTGCCACACACACAAGCCACAGGGGCAATCAGCGGCTTTCTGTCACAAGATTTCCTGCAGCTTTATTTTTGCCTCAACAGGACATTTGACAAGGAAATAAAATGGCTCATCAAACTGTGGATCTTTAGAACATTTGGGGTCCATTTGGGAACTTCTTCCAACAATTAATGAGCTGTGAGAATTTTACCTCGTTTTCCTTCCTTTGCAGTTTGTTCCCGGATCTGCTAATATTGTATGTCTAGAAATGGGGGCTAGAGGGGAGGACAGTACATTCACAGGTTTTTTACGTAACATTTACAAGGTGCCATGCGCTTGGGATGGATTTAACAGATGGATTTAACAGATGGACACAGTTCCTGCCCTCTCTGAGCTCAGGAAGCTGTGGGACAAAGGAGTTAGGACACAGTGGAAAGAGTGCTCTTGGAAGGAATACAGAGGTGTTCAGAGAATGGAGCAAATTAGGAGGGGCTCGGGGAGGACTTATGGGAGGTGAGGTGTAACCTGAGGCCTATGGATGACGGGGGATAACCTTGTAGGTGTGAGAAGAGGGCATGCTATTGTGTTGTACGTGTACAGAACCACGTGTGGCAGGTAGAGAAGAGGCAGGGAGACCTCCACTCGGCTACTGTGTTGTCCCAGGTGAGAGATGGGAGTGGCTGAGGCCAGGGTGCTGGCAGAGGAGGACCTTCTGAGAAAAGGTAGGATTCCAAATCCATACTGAAGGCACAGCTGCAGGCCTGGATGAAGGATGTGGGATGACAAATGGCGTGAGCAACCGGCTGGATCAGTGATTTTCAACCGGTGTGCCACAAGAATTTTTAAAACATGCAATACCTGACTATTTAGTCAGGGACATTGACCTCTCTTCCCTTAAATTGTCAAGTAAAAATATGACAACAGCCAACACAACAATAGCCGTCTGGTGTGAATGAATCAAAATTATACCTTTTATGTTTTTGTCAGATTGGAAAAAAATATAATTTCTTTTGCGTGCCACAGAATTTTAGTGATTGGTTTATGTGTGCCATGAGATGAAAATAGTTGAAAAGTGGGGGGCTAGATCATAATGACATCTACCAGATAGGAACACTCAGAGGAGGCCAGAAAGGTGGAAGAGAGGCTAGGAGTGTGTGTGTTTCCAGTGAGAGGGAGCGATTTTCATTCAAACGCTACCAGTGCATCAGGTTGGAGAAGTGTCTCTTGGACTGCTGAGGACCTTGCAAGCACTGTCTCCTAGTCAGGGCAGGAGACGGAGATGGCCCTGGACGGTGGGAAGGAAGGGAAGGAAGTGGAGACAAGCAAAGCCAGCTCTTCCAGAAGTGTAACTGAAGGGGAAAGGGAGTTAGGCAGCAGTTTATGGGGTTATAAGATCAGGCAGTTATTGTTACGTTTGTTTTCTGGTTTTAAAATCTTTTTAACATGGAAGAGTCTTGGGCATGTTTAAATATTGGTAGAAAGAAGTGAAGGGAAGTTGAAGATACAGGTTGTGGGAGAAGATGGGGTGGAATCCTGGAGGCAGTAGTAACCTGAGGAAGGGGACACTTTTCCCACTCACCAGGAAGAGGTGGAGATGGAGTAGAGAAGTGGGGAATTCTGAATGACTGTTGATGGAAGGTATGGAAGTCCTTTCTGGTGGATTCTGTTTGCTCTGTGAAGGAGGTAGTGAAGTCTCTCAGATTCTGCCAAAATTAGGCTGCTTCCCCCTGCAGGACTGGACCTGACATATTGTCCCTTAATCAAAAAGAAACTAAATTTCAGAGATGATCCAAAGAGAGTTTACTTGGCTTTTGTCCTGATCCATAATAATGCTGAACTGTATTCAGATATTTTCTCCAGTTTTCTGCCTGCAGGTGGTGCTCATCATCCAGTTCAAAGCAGCTTGGTCCACAGCCAAGGAAATGGGGAGGGCACAGAAGGGCAAGTCATAGCTCTCAGCCTCACAGCAGTGACTGATTCCCCACAAGGTGTCCCACCCCAAACCACAAGTAAAATCAACATCCTCTTCTCACCAGAATTTGAGTCGCCAGAACTGGGCAAACAGTTTTTCTTTTTCCTCACATAATCACTTTCAAGAAATAAAATCAGAGTTAAACTGAAACTCTTTATTTATGGGTGAGGCAAAAGTAGGTTTATAGTTGTAAGTGCATGAAACACAGAGTTTGTGCTTTTTAAAATTTTATTTATTTATTTATTATGTATTTATTTATTTATTGTTTTAATCCTCACCAGAGGATATTTTTCCATTGATTTTTAGAGAGAGGGAAAAACAGAAATATCTATGTGAGAGGAACACATAGATTGGTTGCCAGCTGGAGAGGTGGCTGCAGCTGAAGTACGTTCCCTTGACTGGAATTGAACACGGCACCCTTTAGTCCACAGGTCAATGCTCTATCCACTGAGTCAAGCTGGACAAGACTCACAAAGTTTATTCTTGTACTAGTGGCCTGATGCACAAAATTTGTGCAAGGGGGGGCGGTGTTCATCAGCCCAGGCTGCACCCTCTCCAATCAGGGACCCCTTGGGGGATGTCCGACTGCTGGTTTAGGCCCGATCCCATAGGACATTCCTCTCGAAATCTGGGACCACTGGCTCCTAACCGCTCACCTGCCTGCCTGCCTGATTGCCCCTAACTGCCTATGCCTGCCTGCCTGATCGCCCCTAACTGCCCTCCCCTACAGTCCTGATCTCACCGCCAACTGCTCTCCCCTGCTGACCTGATCTTGCCCCCAACTGCCTCTGCCTGCCTGATCACCTGTAACTGCCCTCCCCTGCTGCCCTGGTCTCACCCCCAACTGCCCTCCCCTGCTAGTCTGGTTGCCCCAACTGCCCTCCCCTGCTAGTCTGGTTGCCCCAACTGCCCTCCCCTGCCAGCCTAATCTTGCCCACAACTGCCCTCCCCTGCCAGCCTGGTTGCCCCCAATTGCCCTCCCCTGCTGGCCTGATTTCACCCTCAACAGCCCTCCCCTGCTGGCTTGATCTTATCCCTGATCTCCCCTAACTGCCCTCCCCTGCCGACCTGATCTCGCCCCCAACTGCTCTTTCCTGCCTGACTGATTGCACTCCAAACTGCCCTCCCCTGCCATCCTGATCTAGTCCCCAACTGCTCTCCCCTGCCGGCCTGATCGCCCCCAACTGCCTCTGCCTGCCTGATCGCTCCCAACTGCCCCTCTGCCCCTGCCAGCTTAATCACGCCCCCAACTGCCCTCCTCTGCTGGCCTGATCACACCCCCAACTGCCCTCCCCTGCTGGCCTGATCTAGCCCCCAACTGCCCTCCCCAGCCGGCCTGATCGCCCCAAAAGGCCTCTACCTCAGCCCCCACCACCATGGCTTTGTCCGAAAGGCAGTCAGACGTAGGAAGATAGCCAGTCGACCTGGACTAATTTGCATATTACACTTTTGGTAGTATGGATAGATTATATAGGATAGGATTGCTTAAATGAGGGGGGGAAAGCCTTTTTCATCAAGAGGAGATGCACTTGGCAGACAAAAATACATAATCCCTATATCTGGACTGATAGCCAGCCATATGCACTATACTGCCAAACCTGTCATTAAAAAATTGAACCGCTTTCTTACACCTTACACCAAACAGCTGTTGCCCTTAAAACCTCTCCTCATCTCCCACCTTAGGTTCTGCCTTCACAGTTCACCCAGATTAGGTTCTGATTAGTCAGTTTCTATGCCAGTCAGTGTCAAAAGCTCCGCCTCCTAGGCAGCCATTGGCTCCTCACAGTTCACCCAGGGTTGGTTCTGATTGGTCGGTTTCTATGCCAGTCAGTGTCTCGGCCTATCTCTGAACCTGGTCAGAAAGGCGGGGCTGATCTGCAGCCCCCATGGAGGCCCAGAGAGAAAGAGAGAGGCAAGGGCTGATCAACAGCTGCCACAGAGGCTATGGATCAGACCCTGCTTCTCTCTCCAGGCCTCTCTCCGGGCCTGATCCACAGCCCCCTCAGCAGTCAGTGCTGGGTCACTGTGCCTGCACCACATTGTCATTTTGATTTTCATCTCTCAGATTATTAGTGACTTTGAGCATGTTTTCATATGTCTCTTGGCCTTCCTTCTGTCTTCTTTTGAAAAGTATCTCTTTATTCCCACCAGCAGTGCACAAGTGTTCCTTTTTCTCCACATCCTCTCCAGCACTTGTCGTTTGTTGATTTGTTGATGATAGCCATTCTGACAGGTGTGAGATGGTACCTCATTGTTGTTTTGATTTGCATCTCTCGGATGATTAGTGACTTTGAGCATGTTTTCATATGTCTCTTGGCTTTCTGAATGTCCTCTTTTGAAAGGTGTCTATTTAGGTCCTTTGCCCATTTTTTGATTGGATTGTTTATCTTCCTTTTGTTAAGTTGTATGAGTTCCCTATAAATGTTGGAGATTAGGCCCTTATCAGATATAATGTTGGCAAATATGTTCTCCCATGTAGTGGGCTTTCTTGTTGTTTTGTTGATGGTTTCTTTTGCTGTGCAGAAACTTTTTATTTTGATGTAGTCCCATTTGTTTATTTTCTCTTTAGTTTCCAATGCCCTAGGATCTGTATCGGTGAAGAAATTGCTTCGGCATATGTCTGAGATTTTGTTGCCTTTGGATTCTTCTAGTATTTTTATGGTTTCCGGTCGTATATTTAAGTCCTTTATCCATTTTGAGTTTATTTTTGTGTATGGTGTAAGTTGGTGGTCTAGTTTCATTTTCTTGCATGTATCTGTCCAATTTTCCCAACACCATTTATTGAAGAAACTGTCCTGACTCCATTGTGTGTTCATGCCTCCTTTGTCAAAT